AGAAGCAAGTGCTGAGCTCCACAGTGTCTACATAAGACTAGCACAGATCCTTGCAGGAAAGTGAGCCTTGATGAAGTGAGCAGCATTTACTGGCACCTCTTTTTAATTATTTTTTAGTTGCATTTAGATACATAGGAGGCATTTAGGTACCTGGCAGTGTGATCTTTGAGATCTACTGTAGGAGTGCACAAGGCAAGGAGGTACCTAAAAGAGTCTTTGGGCTAAGGAAGTGTGTTGTGATAAGTCTTCCGGGCTGAAGTAATGTGATTTAACTACTTAAATCTCACCAGTATAAACTTCAGCTGAATAAAACTTGCTTAAATGTTGTATATATGTATATATACAATTTTACAGATTGCTTCCTGTTGGTCTGTTTTTTTAAGAGATGGAGCAAAAAAGAGTATGAGCTACTTGAGATCTGGGGAAAAAGCTGGTCCTCTATTTGCAGGATACTTATCACTTCATGTCTCAGTTCACATCTGTTTAAGTTATCTGTTTCTAGCTTTTGGTTTCCCTGGCAATGAGAGCAAACACTATATTACTGCAGCTTCTAACAATAACCCTCTGTTTCTGTTTTCTGCTGTACTAAGCTGGTCCCAAAGAGATTCACATAAAATCATTCTTTGTAACCAGCTATATTTCATATGGACACTATCTGTAAAATAATTATGTATTCCTGACGTCCACATACCCTGCAAGGCTATTAGTGTGTACCTACATAGGCATTTCTGATAATATCCAGTTCTAACACTAACTCTGTATAATATAAACTCTATAAAAACCTGAAAATATGCACACCCCTAGCCATGGCAGTATTCCACAGTTCTAAATATCATGCGCTTGAAACGTTCAACCAAAAAAACCCCAAGAAGTTTAAAAATAATAATTATAGTGGCGCCTTTCTTGCTGCTGTGAAGCTGAAGTCCTTCTCACCATCTGCCCCTGTACGCAACTGAGATTTAAGAGTCTGGCTTGTAAATAAATTGTGGTTTGAAGTTACTGATACAGCCTTTTATTAGTGAGCAGGCAGCTCAGATAGTGAAATAGCTGTCCTAGTACTCGAAGGTAAGGGTATCTTTAGCTACGTTCTCAAATCTCTCTAGTGCCTCAGTACGTTACCAGCTTCTGTCTCTAGCTATAAATTTATGAATTTGGGGAATAATTTACACTTAAAAAGGGATTTGCTGAGTATTAAGTAGGTGGTTCCCTTTTCACTTTATACCACTGTTTCCTGTTGCTTCCATTTAGTTTCCCCAGCCCATAGACTGTAGGGTGGTGGGAAGGCATTGTAAAAGGCAGAAGGAATCTCAGGTAACATGGAGCAGTAGTGACTGCAGGATGTGATTCTGACCTAGAAGTGCACCAAGCTCTTTATTTGAAAGAAACTCCATGAATAGTAGTGGATTTTGGTTGAGAAGGATGGAGTTTAGCTGTTTGAGTCATTGGTCTCCAGCCAAGCAGGCCTGGGTAAGGCTTAGATCAGAGCCATCAGGCTAGCTGCTGATCAAAGGGGTCAACAGAGAGCAGCAAGTATCCTCCTTAAAAGCACTACCCTGTAAGCACAATTTAGGATGAATACTGTCTCCATGGGCACCAACCTAAAAACTTCCAAAACTTTAACTTGGAAGCTATACCTTGAGCTGAACATTCCTGCAAAATACTGAATCCTTTGCTAAAAATGGTTACAATAAAAGTTGTTTCACAGACTGCATTTGTCTGGCCAAGGCAGTAGATCACATAACTGGAACTGGGCGCGCCCAGCCTCGCCGTGTCCATGGTGCCTATGGTATGGAATGTGGAGCTGGCGGGGCTGGACTCTGCGCTCCCTCCCAGCAGCCCAGATCGAGTGATGGCTGCTCCGCTTCCAGGTGTGGTTTGATAGACCAGTTTGTGCGGTGGGGTTCTGAGGGATATTTAACCATCTCTCAAGAGGGATAGGGAAATACTCATGAAAAAGCTAGCAGTAACTTGAAACCAAACTCCGAACACATCTCCTGCAACATTGCTTAGCATTGCATGTCACAAAAGCATCAAACTTTTTCTTTTAAATGTTTGACCTGCATCTGTAATATCAGTAAATTCACGCAAGGCGTTGTTTCTGAGGTTCCTTGCAAAGACCAAAACACTTAAATATGGTATTTGCAATGTGGCAAAGAATCTAGAGGAGGAGATGCCATGTAAAATACCATCAAATAAATACATGAACAAAGATAACCAGGAACTGTAAAATTTGCAAACTGTGCCATTAGTGCAGAAGCACTGATCAAGTGACTTGAAATGATTTTTTAATTTATTTTTTTTAAATAATTTCAATCTTTCATGAATGTTTCTTGTATTTCAGTAATCACCTAGGGAAGAGTCTGCAGCTGCTGATGGACAGAGTGGACGAGATGAGCCAAGACATTGTTAAATACAATACCTACCTGAGGAATGTAAGCAAACAGCAGCAGCAGAAACACCAGGTTGGTAACATGGAAAACCTGAATGAAAGCATTTTTTCCATAAAATACAGTTTGGGTAGTGTAATGTAAGACACATTAATTTGGATCTAAGCAAGATAAAATTCTTACAGAAACATATCCATTAAGTAGATTTATAAAATGTGCTGATCAGTGGGGAATTATCAAATGGATTCACTTCTGCTGACATGTAGTGTGGATTGGTCTTTCTTCGCTATTTTACATATTTGTTAGTGATTTATGTTAAACCCAAATAATTGATAAATATACCATGGACACAGGGATTAGAGGTTGAGTAAATGAAATGAAAGACCTGAATGAAACTACAAGTGAACTATTCGAAAACAAACTGTTTTAATACCATCATGTGTGGCCATGCATCTAGAAATAACAAAGCATAGTCCATATTTAAAAGTCAGTGGTCTGTTCTCTGATCAGAAATGACATCTTTAGTCGTATTTTGTATCATTAGATAGTGATACTGATCAGGTGATGCTGACTTTTAATTCCTAATGCCAAAGGGCCTCTTTAAAATCAAAAATAGCTTGATTGGAGAATGCTGAGTATGGAGACCAGCTCTAGGTGGCCTTGCTTGATCAGGGGGGTTGGCCAAGGTGACCTCCAGAGGTCCCTTCCAACCTCAGCTGTTGTGTGCTTTGGAGATGGTATTACTTTATTTGCTGTTGCTGCATTTGATAAAGCAATACTGTATCTAATTATAAAAGAATGCTGGTAAATTGGAAAAAGGCACTGTGAGAATGATTTAAAAGCCTGGAAAGCAGGTCTTAGTGAATGCAATTCACTTCATGTGATAAATTAAGTTAACGAGTGACTTGCTTACTCAAGAAGTACCTGCATGAAAAATAAATTTGGACTCTTTAATCTAGCAGACAGAGATATGACAAGATTCAGTATCAGCCAACTGAAAATGGGCCAGGCCACTTTAAAGATAAAATATTGCAGGTATTGCTACACGAAGTAGCTAATGATTAAAATGAGCACCCATGGTTTGTGTGAAATGCTTCATCACTGACTATTTTAAGTTCAAAATTGGCTTTTCCACTTAAGTGTAGCTTGAGCAGGGAATACTTTAGGGAGGCAGCGGTCTCTCCTGGCTTTGTAGTTCCCAAGGACATCGAAGCTTCACGCATGTTATCTTCAGAAAATGTCTTTTCTTTTGCTGCCTAATTTGAATAGAAAGATGGCATCCACTTCAAGGGTTTTGGGAATCTATTTATTTTGAAAAGCAGAGCAAAGTTGGTTCCATGGTGTCTCACTTAATTTCTTCACTAACTATAGCTGCTTTAGTAGTGGCTCGCTGCAGCATAGTTAGTGGTCTTAACTTCATTTTTAAAACAGAGCAATTGTGATTAAGAGCAAGCCATTTCAATAGAGAATAATAGGCAGACTGCTGAGAAGTGAATAGGGTAATGCAAAGAAAGAAGAAACTACATGCAATTCACATACAAATATGGGCATTTAAGATGTTATTTTTAACATTGTCCAAAAACACGTATTTGTCACGACTACTGGAAAAAAAATTACTTCATTTGAGAATGCCACTCAAACAGTATGAACTGTTTTCAGACTTCTATGCAGTTACGTTTCAGTAAGTGAGAGAAAACACCCTGTTTATTTTAAAGATTTTTTTGTGTGTGTGTTGAATATGAGGACTTTGATAGGCAGACCTTACAACTAATTCCTGGCTGCAGTGTACGCTATGAAATCTCACATACGTGTTCTTGAATGTGTGCACTTCTGCAAGAACAAATGTTTGTCCAATTGCTGAAGATGGTCTGCCTTAATTTTTATGAAGTTTGATTGATCTAGATGGCAAAGGGAAGCATTGAAAACAAATAATATTTTTTTTTAATAGCAGGGTAATTTCTACGAACTGCTATTATAATACATCCTCTGGTAACCCACAAAGAAACGGCAGCAAAGTGGCAGAATATTGAGATAACTGCAATGGAGAAATGAACGATTGTTCTTTGTGTCAACCGCCACTTTGTTCTCAGTTTAAAATTAATGGGTTTTGGCTTAAAATACCCTGTTTAATCAAGCCCTCTTCCCCTTTAACATTAATATTGTTGTGACCTTTAACTTGCATAAAATTGAATATTTCTGGTTTCTATAACTATTTGAGGTAGTGGCTTCGCATGCCTATGTATTCCAACTTTGATTTCCCTTTTTTTTTTTTTACTTGGGGATATGAAGGTCTTTATCTACTGTGCTGTAATCTTTACATCAGATACAGTATTTATCTCTATGAAAAATTTAAAAAATTAACCCCACCACCTCAGTACCACATCATTTTCCAGTGCTTCACTTATTTAAGGTGCCAGCTTGGGAGGGAGATACTTTTTACCGGTGAATTGAAATGAAGTGTGAAATGCATTAGCATTATTTTAAATAAACTGAATTGCATGGAGTATGTATAATTTTTAAAACATATGTGCTGGTTAGGTAAAGAGTATCTGAAAATAAAATCTTTTTGCTGTTTTGGAAGCCTTGTTGCATTCTGTTTCTGTCGTTTTATTTAGACGTCAACAGGAAAATATTCAGCGCCAAAGCCGAGGAGAAGCCCCTCTTCCTGAGGAGGACATCAACAAACTTTTTAAACCACCACAGCCGCCTCCACGAATGGAGTCGCTCCTCATTGCAGGTAGCATTCGAGCAGCCTTTTCGGCTCATCTCTTCACAGACCAATGTTAGCTTGGGGAAAAGTGCAGTTGTTACCTCAGAAAGCATCTTAATTTTCCATTACCTTTGCTGTTATGGTGTGATCTTTTGGCATTAGTAGTATTCCAAGTCCTCTCCTTCATTTGGTTGAAGGCAGTGGTTTCAACCTGTGATCTGCAGCCACAGTACGTAGCCACAGTTTGGTACATAAGTTGGTGCCTGTCCTGTGCCTCCTAGAAGGGTAAAAATATCTGGGACCTCACAATGGCAACAGAGAGCAGAAAAGCCTGCATGCCCTGCTAAGTCATCTAAATTTGCAAAATGCTGTGAGAGAGCAAAATGTTTGACTACAGCAGGCTTTTGGATCAGTTAGCTCTCACCTTGTTTTGTACTCAGAGAAAATTAAACCAAAGTCCTGGTAATTTAGTGTACAGAAAAAAGTGCTTTGACATAAAAAAAAACAAAAGTGATTTGAACTACCGCTCCTAAATTTTGGAGTGACAAAGAGATTTTTTTAATATTGATACTTCTTCACACTGCTGGTAATTGCTGCTTTTAGAAGAAATAAGGTTCTTGATTTATTATTCCTTCCAGAGTCTTTCAAAAAAATGTTGTTTTGCTAGTTTTTACGAGTTAATGAATCCTAGCAGCATTAAAGTTTAAACATTCAGCTTTAACATAGCTTAAAAATGCAACAGGAGTGTGTATGTGTGTATGCGCGTGTGTTACGAAAGTGAGATCTTAAGATGAATCACCTCTTACAAGAGGAGGAATTGAAAACTGTTACACTTAAAGGAAAAAACAGTTTTCAGTCAAAGTGCTCTCTCCGTTTGTTTTTACCATAGTCAGGGGAAGAATTGAAAGCATCCACTTCAACTCAGATGAAGTAAAGTTTGTGGATAAAGAATAAAACTTAGCTCTTTTGTCTCCGAGGCATTTCAAAACTTTTCAAATAGAGCATTAAAGTGAGAGTTTATTGGTCTTCTAAGCAGTCCTAATTTTTATTAAACTGGCTTCATGTTTTGCTGTTCCTAGCTAACAAGGGAAATAACTTGTAACAGTACTTGGATAAAGTGTTTTGATGGGCGCATTTGATTTGTAAAGCACTGACAAGTCTTCATACCCTGATGACTTTTGGAATAGCTAATAAAGTGAAATATTAGGTGGAAAAAAGGCTAGCAAAATGTCAAACAGGAATACCATAATTTTCAATCTGCTACTGAAAAGTATTTGCTAGAAGTATTTTAAAAGGAACAGCAGATGCATAAGAACAGAACTGAAATGAAGTCTAGTAATATTTTTAGGGCAACTAAATTGGACAGTTAATGTGATTAGGCTTCCAGTACAGCAGCAAGAGTCATTTATTCCTTTTATTGTCGTATGCCTTTTCAGAAATTTTATGTAATAGAGTTGTAGGAAAATTAGGGTTTTTTTGAGCATACCAGTTTACCTATTCTGCTAATTTAGTTTGTTGTTCTTACCAAACCTATTTGGGAATACTGAAAATGTAAAATCCTCGAGTGTAGAGTAGTCAGGCTGTGTGGTTGCTTCTCTGTATATATCCTGAATGATTAATCCACATTTGGCTTTTAAAAATGTTATTCTATGATGTCTTTCTGAATTTCAAAACTGACAAGGGTTTACTCTTTTCTATTTACAGGTCAAATTAATACCTACTGCCAGAATATTAAAGAGTTCAATGCACAGAACCTGGGCAAGCTTTTCATGGCTCAGGCTCTCCAGGATTACAACAACTGAAGAAACTTTGCTTTAGCCCTCACTAGAAAGTTATTTACAGCTTTATACTGTTCATGATCCTCCTCAAAATTTAGTATAGTGAGGAAAAGTCTTGTAAAACAGAGTCACATTGGTCTGTGTAGAATTCTCCTGTAAGAAAAATAAAGGCAAATTTTAATGATGTTTTAGTGTTTCCTTATTTGTTGGCCCTATTGGACTGGAATATTCTGTGGTCACTCAGGTTCTCTAAACGTTTGGCAGTTATTCATGTTTAGTCATAGCAAATAATACAGGTTTTATTTAACTTGTAATCTGAAATAGAAACAAATTATCACAAATGTTCAGCGTAGCTGACTTCACAGAAGAAATTCAAGATTTCCCAGTTTTGGTTGAGAACTTACAACTATAGCGTGCTGGTCACTTGGAACAGTTGCTCATTTTTTATTAATGCTGTTTGGACAGTTTGGTGCTGTGGACCTTCTATATCACAAATATTTCATAGCCTCCACATTTTACAAAACTGGTGTTATGTGGAGAGCGATCCCCACCACATCTTGCCAAGCGCTCTTCCCATTTTCCATTGCCATCAGCGACTGGATTGAAATCCAGTGATGCTGGAAGTCTTCATGACAAACTGTAGCAGTAGCTCACCTGGAGCAGCTCCTGTGCTGTAAGTGGACACCATACCTACTCTGCATTAACTTGACCATCTGGATGTGCCTTTATTCCTGAACTCAGGCTACTTCTCTCTTTGACAAGAATGTTAATTTAAGGGTTTAATACATGACAACTCACACATGTTACTGTCATTGGTTCCTTTTTTCCCTTGAGTTCATTCTTCCATGTTGCGTGGTGAGTTCTGAGAGCCTAAAATGGCTTGAAGGAGTGTGGTTTGGTCTTTTAAAATAATGACAAGTAAAATAATAAATAACATCCTCTATGTAGCATGAAATACGTCAACCTCTAAGATGAATGTTTTGGAATGTCAGAAGTGTGTGAAAACTGGGGGTTAGGCTAAGAACTTCTTCTTTTCCAGTCTAAACCATAGCAATTGCAGTATTTATATAAATATTTATGCAAATTTTGTCAGCCCTCACGTATCTGACAAACTGCAAGTCTCATCTTTTGCCTTGGAAACTTTGAGTACCTTTGTGTTTCACTGAATGAAAATACAATGAACTTCTCTGAAATCGAAGATTAGTTAAGTATCCTGCTACAGTGCCACATGGTTGAATTTTATTTCCTATACAAATAATATTCAGACTGTGTTAAATTTCTAGTTTTTTGAAGCACCAAAATAGCCACCAGGGAACAGGAGCAGGAGCAGCTAATTAGACTAAAATGAGACATCTGAGATAGAAAAAATTATCTTCTGGACAACAGGGAATAGAAGACTGACTCTGCAGTGACTGTGTATGGAAGGAAGCAGCAGTAAGGTTATAGCAGAAGGTTTGCAAAGGAGGTGTTAGCAAAATGAATGCTTGGACGAGGTTAAAAACAAGCTGTGTGTTTTGAATCAGTTCTTTAAGATTGAGGATGTAAATGTGAGAAAGAGGGCAATAATATTCTACTGTGCTGAAGTTTAACAAGATCAGTAGATTTTATATAGCTAAATCGAATGTGCTAAATGTCAGTTAAAGCCTATGAAGAAATATGGAAGACTTCAGTAGAGATTTGTGGCTTCTGAAGGTATGGGTTTGAGTCAGGCAGGGAAATGAGATACAAAAGTAGGTAAGGCGTAAGTGGGCTTTGGCAGTGATTGACTCTTCTGTACTGAATCACACTTCTGTCATGGTGCAAATCATTAGATGGGGTCTGTTGAAGCTGTTTGTCTATAAATGAGAATCAACAGCTGTGGAGATTAGGAATTAAAAGGGATGAGGCTATGTCCATGTGCTGCGTTTCGTGTGAGCTTACCCCACTCTCTATTCCTGGAACGTTGCGTTTACGTGTTCTCTTCCTACTGCAAATGAGCATAAGACATGTCCTTTCCATTCTAATTATCATAGCACTACCTGTTTTTTCTCTGTCTTTGTCTGTGAAAGGCTTTTCTGTATACTAATAAAACTGTAGTGACACTAGTCTTTAAAATCATCTCTAAAGAAGTTAGACCTTCTTTTCGGTCAGCAAGCCTATTGTCATTGCAGAGGCGAGCAAGGCCTCTGGCCTGTGGCTCCATCTCCATCGTGCGTGCACAGGTAAAGCACCTGCACATGGGAGACAAAACAGGCACAGGGGAAAACCTTCCCTGCAGTTGCTAGTGATACTAATACTCCACATCTGGCCATCATCTCTCCTCTCACACTCCGAACCCCACAGGTCTGTGTTACGGTAACCATTTTGTAATTGTTTGTTATTTATGCAGAACTATAATCCTTGTAAAAGAAATTGTGACTTTGAAGTCCATCACTAATTGGCAGGAGTCTTGCAGGCAAGCCTTCTGAGCTAGATGCTGTGCCAGTCTTTCAAAAGTAAGGCTTGAAAGGAGAGAAAAGGGGACAATTGTTTTAGTTTTTACGCTGAAGAAAATCAGTATTTCTTCCAGTTGGTTGATACTTGGGATCTTCACCACTGTGAATTTTGCTGTGACATTTACTGCCTCTGTTCCGCTGCTACCTGTGAAATGTAATTGTGCTCATAATTGGAGCGTATGTGGGAAGTGCAGCACCATCTCCCTCATTTGGAGCACTACCTTGGTCACAGTGCCATGACTGCCTGCTTGCAGGAGGGTGTTGTCCTCTGTCCTAGCTCCCTGTTCACATGTAGACAAAACATCAGGGCTTTGTTGGTGTCAGGAGGGCTGGATGAAGCCTGGTATTGCATAAATAGAAAGTGCTGTAGCTTGAGGTGGCACTCACTGAGGAGTCACAGTCATGGACGGTGCCTGGTCCTCCTCAGTCACAGTGCAAAGTGCAGTAGGTTCATCTTTGGCCTTTCTACCAGTCTGAAATGTGTCTGGCTGTACTGACAGCCCTGAGATTACCTTCAAGAAAGGATGCTAAACTTTTGCACCATCTACTTGCTTAACTATAAAAAAGGTGTAATTCCTTAGATATGGTTAACTGCCATGGTTGTTCTCAGAGACTAATCCTTAACATTAATATTAAAGGAGAATGAAACTAAATGGGAGAGCTTTTCTGTAATCCAAACATACTTGGTGTGCCCTTATGTTGACATCAAGATATGATGTGCTATTTCCATTTTCCTTCTGGTGTTCTCAAACTTGGACCAACCTCCATCTAAACCAAACATTCTGCTGCTGACTGCCCACACAGAGGAAACCTCGGGTGCCTTTCCCCCTACTACACAGGTCAATTGTGTCCTTTTTCTTCTCAGCTCCGCATGATGTTCCCCCAAGCACTTAAACATTTTAGAGGCTGAATTTCTGCTCTTCTGCATCTTGTGAACGTTTGGACTTCTGTGCAGAGCTAAGCAGTGTGAGTATGAGGTACTGCCAGGTGAGAATGGGTGGTGGTCATGCTGACGTGAACAGCTGTGCACTCTACAGACTAGAGAAGGTCTGAGTGAGCTTGCAGATGTCTTTATTGGTCCTAACAAAGGTGTGGGATGGGGTTGGCAGTGGCAACCAATAACACTTGCAAAGAACATCCCGTGTCTTTTTGTTTATGCTCTTAATGCTTTGCACATTCCTGAGCACAGAGTCATTCGGTAATCTTGTTGGCCTTGACTGGTTTTTGCCTTCTGATAAACCTCCGATATAACAAATCACTGGTGACAATCTGAGACTTCTTTAAGAAGCGTGAACTATTGGATGATTCTCACTCAATAGTCAAAGGACTCCTGGTGCTCTTTTAAGAAGTCTCTAGAAGCTGGCAATACAAATACCTCCAGCTGAAATACGTGTAGTGTGTACAGGATGAGGAGCCGAATTGCTCTCTCTAGGACTGCTTCTCATCCAGTTTGCCAGCCCTGGGGTGAAGGATGTGTCCCTCATGATTTTCCATAGCAGTGCATTTTCTTCCTCTGGATTTTATACTTCTTTTTAATTTTCTTCATATTTTGCCCACAGCTTGTTGATTTTTAAGCAATAAGGGCATGCTGCTCAGGATCCAGTGCTTTCTTTCATTATGCACTTTACTCTTCCATGAATTCCTCTGGAAAACTTCATCTGCAGCTGGAAAGATGTTTTAAATTTTGTGACCTGAACATTAAATCCATGGTGGAAGTTTGGGTTGCCCAGGTGTTGGGTCTGGCCCTGACCCTGCCCCTGGGCCTGGATGCATTGATGCTGCTGTGGAGGCCGTGGGGCTGCTCCCTGGGCCTGGTCCAGAGGGAGCGATTCGGAAGCTTCTCGTGCCAGTTTTACAACTGCAGAGAGGTTTACACAAAGCTGGGGCTGTGTTTTATTTTTTGATCCTTTAACTGGATTGCTGTTGACACGACTCGTACGTTGAGTGGTAGCGAGCTGCACAGAGCTGCAGAGGGTGTCTTTAAATACAACAGCTTTGGCAAAAGGTTCTTTGGTGATAGAAAAGTTCATGTCTTATTTCAATTAAAGCAAACATTTATATGTGAGGGAAAACGGCCAGATCAATTTTACAGTGATATTAAAAGGCATTAGGGTGTCAGTAAAATAAACAAGGAAGGGTAGCAACCCAGCAGAAACATGGCTAAAGACTTCAAAAACTTTGTAAGATTAAAAGAATGTGTGTAGTGAGGGTTCCCATTCTGGTCTAAATGACCAATTTTTTAATCTGTCACCTTTACTGAGGGTGGTGTTCCTTAGATATACTACAGCATATAAAACTTCAGTTGTTTGGGTTTTTTTTCTTCTGTATTTGAGCAATACAGATTTAGTCTTATATGCAAAGCCTTGTCCTGTTTTCCTCACTCTGTGTGTGATTTCATCTTTTATAGCTCAGTAAAACTGATGGAGAGTCATGCCCAGCAGGTCAGAAAGTTGAAAGCTGATTCAAAGATTCAGGGGTCTCACCCCCTGTGCAGTGTTTGCTTGTTTGTGTATCCTGGTGCTCACTGAAGGGTGTAAAGCAGGTTTTGTTTGTCAGGGAATTGGATAATCTGTTGTTGTTCCCAAATCTTTCACTTGGCTCCTTTAACGATAGTAATTGAATTATTAACTTGCAGATTGCATCTAAGGCAGGAAAACAGATTATATAACTGGAATGCACCAGTGGCAGCAGGCTTGCCTGTTTCAGT